AACAAATTCATGCAATAAATTCGAAAATCTATATGAACATCCAGGTGGCTGCATATACCAAGAGTTTGTTCCTTTTTATTCTAAGCAGTACTCCATTGAGTGGATATTATTATCACAGTTTATTTAGCCATTAACCTGTTTAAGGAATCTGGGCTGATTCTAGTTTGGGGCTATCAGAAATAAAGCTGCTATAAATATCCATGTACAGGTTTTTATGCGAACATATGTTTTTTTCCTGGGATAAATACCCAGGAGTGCATTTGCTGGGTCATACAGTACTGGCATGCTTAGTTTTATAAGAAACTTGCTAACCTCTTCAGAATGGCTGTACCATTTTACATCCTCACAAGCAACAAATTATAGATCTAGTTCTCTAATCCTTACTAGCATTTGGTGTTCTCACCATTTTTTAAAATATTAGCCATTATGACAGATGTACAAATCAATAAAAATATATAATCCAGATTTTTAAAAGTATATTTTATTGATTTTTTACAGAGAGGAAGGGAGAGAGATAGTTAGAACATCGATGAGAGAGAAACATTGATCAGCTGCCTCCTGCACATCTCCTACTGGGGATGTGCCCGCAACCCAGGTACATGCCCTTGACCGGAATCGAACCTGGGACCTTTCGGTCCGCAGGTCGACGCTCTATCCACTGAGCCAAACTGGTTTCAGCTATAATCCAGATTTTTAAATATTTTTGAAGGGTGAATTGATCTGTAAATATTTTTATTTAAATTCTTTATTATTGAAAGTATTACATATGTCTCCTTTTCCCCTCATTGAGCTCTCCCTGGTCGCTCTTCCCCATCTGTAAATATTAAACCTCTATAACTTGTACTGATTCAGATTTTTTAGAGGACCCAGGCATCTAGATATATATTTTTAAATCCATACCTTAAAACATACTTATTTAAAAAACAAACATTTTTTATTGATTTCAGAGAGGAAGGGAGAGGGAGAGAGAGCTAGAAACATCAATGATGAGAGAGAGTCATTGATCAGCTGCCTCCTGCATGCCCCAGGGGATCGAGACCGAAACCCTGGCATGGAATCGAACCGTGACCTCCTGGTTCATAGTGAACATTCAACCAGTGAGCCATGCCGGCCAGGCTGGATTTCATTCTTGATCCCAAAGTCTCCTATTGATAATGTGACTAGTTTCCCTACCTAGCTACCTTAGAATTTATACAGAAAATTCATGTGCTTCTCTAGAATACCTTCTTTCAGAGCAAGCTATTTGTTCCAGCCTTGCTGTTTCCCTACGCGCCTCAGCAACATCACTCCTAGTCTTAACAGGAGATGCTAAAGGCCACTAAAGAGGATTTCCGGGAAATTATCGACAAGTCCATGCACTCAAGCTTCAGTGCTGTGTATTTTTAAAATAAAAAATTATTAGACTTCTAGGACTTATTATTTTTAATTATTATACTAAAACTACTTTAGTATAATGTTGCTTTAATATCAAACCCAGTATTAGGCATAAACTTCTTAGAACTCTTATGCAACTATAAAATCAAAACAAATCTACATATTAAATACAACCCAAATTACAACTAATAAAATTGTCAACATTAATGTATTATGATGGCTGATGCTGTTTTGCTGATACTAAATCACTTCTCACATCATGGATTTAGCATTAACTGCTTTAAAGAAGGTTCTTTTGAATTTGGCAAGTTGATACTACCTTGGGCAGAGTTATGACTCATATACAACTTTTCTCTAAATGAGTTATATCCATCATTTGGTTTATGCATTGTTTGTAAATTTTAGATTAAAATAAATCACCTGCCATTTATTTTAAAACTTTTATATTTTGAGTTTTTTTCAAACCAAAGATACCATATAACATGTCATACAAGATAAATTCTTCCTATTACTTTTGCTACTGCTATTGATGAGTGGGAAATTGATAATGGGACACTGGGGAGAGGGGTTATTGACACTTTTTTTGAGTGACTCTATTGGGTTTGGGGGACCTGTATCTGCCCAGTTATAACTCGTTTGTATTATTTCTAATATCCTAAGTTAAAAAATTTTTTTCTTAGTCTTCACTCAAGGATTTATTTTCCCATTGATTTTTAGAGAGTGGAACGAAGGGAGGGAGGGAGGGTGAGAGAAACATCCATAAGAGAGACACATCAATTGGTTGCCTCCCACAGATACAACCCAGGTACCTGCCCTTAAGCGGGAATTGAACCTACCACCCTTTGGTGTACAGGTCGGTACTCTAACCATTTAGCAACACTGGCCAGGGCCTAACTTTAATTTTTTAAATTCATTAATGAGAGAGAGAGAGAGAGAGAAGTTTGTTATTCTACATATGTATGCATTCTTGGTTGATTCCTGCATGCCCTGATAGGGAATCAAACACTCAACCTTTATGTATCAGGACAATGCTCTAAGCAACTGAGCTACATGGCTAGGGCCTAACATCCTCTTTTAAACTACAAAAATAAAGGGTGGAAAACGCATTAAGTTGTTAAACCTAAGGAAAAATATTCTTATTTTAAGTGAAAAATTCGTAGTGATAAATCTAAACAAGACAAACATTAATGATGAGAAAGCTCCAAATCTTCCACATACAAAGGCACTGAGAGGTTGTAAGTTTGGAAAGAGCACCAAGACACTTGTCTTGAGACTTACTTTTATAACAGCAGCCTTTTAAAAAATCAGTTTAAGGTGTACAACATATTGATTTGATAGTTATATTGCGATGATTGACATTGTAGTGTTAGCTAACACCTCTACTGTATCACATAACTTCTAGTGTTAGGAACAATTAAGATCTTAACCTAGTCTCAGCAAGTTTAATACTTATAATAGTTTTTTTTGTCTATAACCACTGTACTGTGTTTTAGGTCTCCAGGACTTATTTACTAGTTGCAAACATGTACCTTTAAACATCTTTCCTATTCCCCCACACCTGAGCCCCTAGTAACCACTATTTTACTCTCTGCTTTTATGATTTCGATTTTTCTAGATTTTACATGAGGTGTCATACAGTATTTGTTTCTCTGACTTATCTCACTTAGCATAATGTGCTAAAGGTCTATCTATGTTGCTGCAAATGGCAGAATTTCTTTTCATGGCTGGATAGTACATGTATTCCATTTATGTGTGTGTGTGTGTGTGTGTATCACATTTTCTTTATTCTTTCATTTGATGACAGGCACTTAGATTGTTTCCATATTGTGGCTATTAATAATGCTGCAATAAGGGGAAAATATCTAATACTTGTAACAATTAGGATTTTTAAAAAGTAATAAACATGGGAGTGCTATGTCTTTTTTTTAATATATATTTTTTATTGATTTCAGAGAGAAAGGGAAAGGGAGAGATAGAAACATCAGTGATGAGAGAATCATTGATTGGCTGCCTCCTGCATGCCAGGAATGTGCCCTGACCAGGAATCGAACCGTGACGCTCAACCACTGAGCTACACCGGCTGGGCCATATGTCTTCATTTCCTTTGAATATATACCAAGATTGCTGGATTGTTTGGTAGTTTTAATTTTTTGAGAAACCTCCATACTGTCCTTCACAGTGGTTGAACCAGTTTAAAATCCCACCAACAGTGCACAGATGTTTCCTTTTCTCCACATGTACACCAACACTTATCTTGTCTCCTTGATGGTAGAATTTTTACAGGTGTGAGGTAATAATTGGTCTTGGTTTTGATTTGCATTTCCCTGATGATTAGTGATGCTCAGTACCTTTTTATGCACTGTTAATCATGTGGATATCTTCTTTGAAAAAATGTCCTTTTTTTCAGCTTAAGATTTTTTTCTATTCAGCTGTATGATTTATAAATTTTGGATATTAGCCACTTATCCAGTACATGGTTTGCAAAAATTTTCTCCAATTCTGTAGGTTGCCTTTTTATTTTGTTGAAAATTGTTTCTTTGGCCCTAGATGGTTTGGCTCAATGGATAGAGCATCGGCCTGCGGACTGAAGGGTCCCAGCTTCGATTCTGGTCAAGGACACATGCCTGGGTTGTGGGCTCGATCCCCCCACTAGAGTAGGGGGCATGCAAGAGGCAGCCAATCAATGATTCTCTCTCATCATTGATGTTTCTCTCTCTCTCTCCTCTCCCTTCCTCTCTGAAATCGATGAAAATATATTAAAAAGAAAATTGTTTCTTTGGCCGTGCAGAAGCTTTTAAGTAGAGGTGTGCAGGGGGCAGCTCTCTTCTCTCTTCCTTCCTCTCTAAAAATCAATAAAATATTTTTTTAAAAATTCTGCTCCTCTGGTTGGATATGGCCTATGTGGTTAGTGGTGGTGACAGTAGGGTACCTTGTTTACTCTTCCACAATATCCCTCTGGCAACTTACTTTAAAATTAACTTGATAAAAGAAACATTAACTTTAGCCCAGTGGAAGGGGCTATCTTCCCCACTGGGAGCACCCCACAGGAAGAGGGTTGGCTACAAAGGAAACCCACTTCTGCTCAGATCCCTGACTGAGCCACAAAGTCCCACTTGGCCCCAGACTTTCACCTCCATAAGCCTTGCTCATGGCTTAAGGGCCTGTCTTCTGCAGTTGTAGCTCCTATCAGACTAGTGAGAGAGGGTGGTATTAAGTCACAACTGGGTGGTCAAGAGCAAGAATGTGAATTATTGCTAAGTTTCTTGGATATGATATCAGTATCTACGTTTTCATTAAAAAGTGGCATATCAAAAAAATAAATAAAAAGTGGTATATCCCCTTAGGAGTATCTAATTTAATCCCTTCACTTTCAAATAAGGAAAGTAAAGCCCAACATGGCTAAGAAAGTTGCCTAGTCTTGGGATTAGAATCTTCTTTCTTTCAGTACTCAAGCTAGGGTCCTTTGTCAATAAATTTTTTAGGGCCTAGATATTCTCCTTTCTTTAAATTCCAAGTGAAATCACTAAATAATATTTACTGATTGCCCAATTAATGGACTCCTTTAGTTGTAAGTTAAACAAATCTAGCTCAAATAGCTTAAGCTTTTTTTTTTTTTTTTTTTTTTAAAAAAAGAGGCTCCAGGAATACACTTGTTTTAGGCATGACTGGTTCCAGGCTCAAAATTACTGTGAGGATTCTACCTCTTCACCTCTAAGAAAACTTTCCACAAGGAGGGGCACCTATAGACTAATATCAGTGTAGCTACCCCAGTAGTACATGTCAGCTATCATTAGACTTCTCAATTATGTGAATCAATAAATTCCTTTTTATTCCCTTAAACTAATTCAATTTTGAATTCTGTCACTTGTAACAAGTGTTTTGACAGAAATGAAGCTTATTAAAGGGTTCTCCTCAAACAAGGATAATGGTAACCAATCAGATTCTCTCTTCAAAACTTTGAATGTAAGAGTAGGATGTATAAGCAGAAGTCGAAAGAACATGCAAGGAAGACAGCAATCCAGGCCATGAAAAGTTTACTATTGATACTCTATCTTGGCCTCTACTTTCTACCTTTTCTGTCTTTTTTCTATCTTATTATCTTGAGCTTATTTGTGACTTCAGTTTATTCTTGGTCCTACCTGCATCATGGCCAGGATTGCTGCAAATATACTAAACTGATTTGATTCTAAAACCTTCTTCTTAGAAATAGCACAAGGTAAATTGGCACTAAAGCCTTCTAGGCTTTACTCAGAACAAACAATAACAAGTTTCCTCTTCCAGCCTGGTAAGGCTCCTCATAGCATCCTAGAATCCAAAATAACTATGTTCTAACTAGTGTAGTGACCACATTTGGGTCAGGATGTGGGCTTCCCTGAGGTAGGAGACTTAACAAGACAACTGAGATCCTTTGCAGGCAAGTAACTGTATCTGCAAGTTTCCTGGGTTTTCAAGTTACTTAACATCTCTAAGTCTTAATTCTTGTGCCAAAATAAAGGGGGAAATCATTGATTTGGAATAAAAAATGAAATATATGTAAAATCACTGGCATATGTTCAGTACTGAGCTAATGTTAGTTCCCTTCCCCTAAATTTTAATGTCACTCACTATATGAAGTATTACCCAATTGTCTTCTTTTGCTCAAATGTCTTAAAATTTATACAATGGAATGGTATTATTCTACATATGACAAACAGTTTAAACAAAGAAACAAGATTTTTAAACCTAAAAAGTTGACTGCTTATTCAAATGTTTTTATTGGATTGAAAATTCATTTAAGGGATACACAGATATACAACTAGTTTGATCAGCTACTAATATACTTTGGCAACCCTTTATTTTTGTACTCAAGAGCCAGTTCACTTTTTCTCCATGTTCAATACTTAGCTTTGGTAAAATTTTGCCCTGTTCTTCATGTGTTACTGAAGTATTAGTGTTTCCACCCTGGTTGGTATAAGTTGCCCTTTTAGTGCTTTTCCTGTGGGTATGTTTTGTAGGACTCTTCTGTTTTTTCTCAACTTCACTGCTTACATCCCACATCATTACCTTCCCATCATTCCCTCCAGTAAGCAGCAAATAAGATTCTGGCAGAAAGCAGACCTGGGATACTCCCAAAGTGTGGCCCTTAAATCCCAATTCCTGTTCACACTTGACTCCCATTACCCTAAAGATTCGAATCTTTCCATCTTCTGCACCACAACTAAAAATATTGCCACATGATGCCACAGACACAGAATGGGCGAGAGCAGGATTTAAAAGCTGACCCGGTGACTGTGGGCTCTCCATTTCTTCTGTTTCATCCTCCTGTAAATTTGTAATCCAGAGTGGCCGGGCTTTCTGAAGGTTCCACAGCATCACCTTTAAACAAAAGGATGTTACACAGTCAAATAAAGTTCTAGCCATCTTGCTAAACTACTAGAAGCTTATTCTGCTTCTAATAAAATCATCAAAATAGTCTGAGATTGATTAGTAGGATATTATTTCCAGCAATATTAAGAAAAAATTTAGAGGGCACTACAAAATGGCAGTGGAATGCTACCCTGGTGCCAAAACTAGAATGCCAATGGGCAGTACGATAGAATTTAGAAAACAAGGTCCTGAATAACTTTCGATTAACAAGACTATTAAAATGTAATCTAAATTATTAAGCAGTTGCCAGTTTTCTTTAGGTCATTCTACCCTCTCTGCAAATAAAATTAAAGATTATGAAATTTATTAATCTTAGTCCATGCTGGTTACAAGTAAAAATCAACAAAATAAACTATCTGGATTATCACTGCAATAATTTGTATCTGGAATGTTTTCCTTTCCTTTCCCATTACCCAAATTATCCATTCTAGGGGCTTAGCTCAAGTCCCTGTCTCTGCAAGCAGGCTTTCCTCACTATTCCAGCCCGCTTTTCTCTTTCCCATATTTAATTCCTATTCTATTAACTAACATTAATAATTTGTCAGTTTTTGGAGATTTAATACATCTTTGCTAATGCTTAGTATAATGCCTGGAAAAGAGCAGAAATTCCAAACCTATATGTTGAATAATTTGACATCTTGGTATATTTGGCTTTTTGTTGTTCCCTACCACGATCTCAGACCTACTAAATTTATTTAAATGAAGTGCTAATTAAAATGAAACAATAAGGTTTGTGAATTGATTTCACTCAATAGGGATTCGTTTTCTCCCTGCAGTAACCAATTTGAAAAGGAAAATATTTTTAATACCTTTAGAGAGAATATACAGCTTTATTATACTATCTAGTATTATCCCTGAATTATGACTCACAATTTAAAATGGATAGTAGGGTAAGCAAGACTTTGTTTAGATATAGTCAAAACCATAGATCTAGCCGAAACCGGTTTGGCTCAGTGGATAGAGCGTCGGCCTGCGGACTGAGGGGTCCCGGGTTCGATTCCGGTCAAGGGCATGTGCCTGGGTTGTGGGCACATCCCCGGTGGGAGGTGTGCAGGAGGCAGCTGATCGATGTTTCTAACTCTCTATCTCTCTCCCTTCTTCTCTGTAAAAAATCAATAAAATATATTAAAAAAAACAAAAAACCATAGATCTGAATTGATAAGATTACTACTACTGATATTAAGAATTTGGTTTTCTACTGAAGGTTAACTTCCATCAAGTCTACTTTCCAAATAAGTGAAATAGAGTATCATTTATTTTCTGCTTCTCGTAGGAAAAGAACTGAAAATCCTTTTGGATTGGATTTATAACATTATACTAAGTGGACAGTAATTGCTATTAGGGTGAAGCCAACAGACTAATAAAGTAACTTTAAGTAAAATAAAAAAAAATCAGAAAATAGAACAAAAAATGAGTGAGTACTAAAACTTGATGTCAAAATAATCTCTCTCTCTAAAAAAAAACAACAAACAAACAAAAAAAAAGCCTGGCCAGCATGGCTCAGTGGTTGAGCATAGACTTATGAACCAGGAAGTCACAGTTCAATTCCTGGTCAGGGCACATGCCTGGGTTGCAGGCTCCATCCCCAGTGTGGGGCATGCAGGAATCAGCAGATTGGTGATTCTCTCTCATCATTGATGTTTCTCTCTCTCCCTCTCCCTTCCTCTCTGAAATCGATAAAAATAAATAAATAAATAAATAAAACATATACACACAAAACAACCAATAACAAAACAAAAACAACAAAAAAAACCCCACCCTGAACACAGGAAAATAAACATTCCAGAATCTGCTAGCTTAACTGTACTGGCAGTTACCCCCAAGTTCTTTCTCACACAGGCCCCATAATATCTGGATTATATTTATTATCCTCCTAAGACATCCAAACATGAACTACACCCAAAGTGTTTTCAGCAGCTTAAACATTTTTGTATTAACTAAATCATCTACATGTGTTAATAACCATCCCAGTTTCTACCAATTCAAGAATCATTTCCAAGTATTGAAGATTCCCAAATTGTTCCTGTCTGTACATTCTCTTTATATTTCTTTGTTCTTCCTAACTGCTAAAGATTCCAAGGTGTTTTACAATTTCTCAACCACCTGTTCAAGCTGTATCACCTAAGTAGGAGAACTAGAGATAATGAAGAATAAAAAAGTACAAGAGTTTGGGTGTAAAACAAACAAACAAAAAAAAGATCTGGAGGTTATACTAATAATAGAGGAATATGCAAATTGTCCAGGACACTGTCACAGTAACAGTAACAAACAGCAGGCTGCATGGGGCAACCAGGCTGGCAGGGGGGTTAGTGAGGGACGACCAAATGACTGAACAGCAGGCTGCATGGGGCGACCAGGCTGATGTGGGGGGGAGGGGGGGAGGAGTTGGGGGCGACCAGGCCAGCAAGGGGTGGGGGGCAGTGAGGGGTGACCAGGCCGGCTGGGGGGGCAGTTAAGGGCAACCAGGCTGGCAGAGGGGGGCAGTTGGGGGTGACCAGGCTAGCAGGGGGGGCAGCTGGGGGCGACCAGGCTGGTGGGGGGTGGGGGGTAAGCAGTAAGGGGCAATCAGACTGGCAGGCAGAGGCAATTAGGGGTGATCAGGCTGGCAGAGGGGGTAGTTAGGGGTGATCAGGCAGGCAGGCAGGTGAGCAGTTAGGAGCCAGTGGTCCCAGATTGTGAGAAGGATGTCCCAGGGATCGGGCCTAAACCCACAGAGGGATCCCGGATTGGAGAGGGTGCAGGCTTGGCTGAGGGATGCCCCCCCTGCCCTGCACGAATTTTATGCACTGGGCCTCTAGTAGTCCTATAAAACATTAAAAGGGAGAGAAAGTGGACAACTGGCCAATGTTTAGAAGTGAATGCAATCATATCAAAGTGACCCTGCTCAAAAATTACTCCCCCTACAATAAAAACACACATGCACACTATTTCTTCCCCTACAAAAACCATTTCTTTCCACATAAGAGATTCATTTATCACTTCTCAGCCTTTTGGCTAAAATCAAGTGTAAAGATTAATTTTAAAGGAAAAAAAGTCTCCTCCATCATCCTGATCCTTGTGTTAGTACTAATGACCTTTCAAACTCCAGAAACAAGAACAACCTTTCCAGGTGTGGATACTGGGGGGGAGAGGGGAAGAGGGGGGAGAAATATATGATGGTTTCAGATTTCCAGTGCTCCTGGATGGCGAGCATGTCTATTTAATGTTATTCTTTATACCTTCACATACACTATAATTATTATTTGCATCTATTTAATATAAAACTAAGTGGTCTCAAGTGTCTTAATTAATCACAGTTTGGACTCTCAAGACTATACTTTCAGGGATCATTTCTACAGTTCGTTACTAAAGAAGTTTCTCTGAACATGTGTAACACCTGAAACCATGAGGAGGAGGTGCAGTGTTCTCTCCTGAGTGTGAAGCTGGCTTTTGGTGTTGCTTTTGCAATGCTATTGCCCACTGATGACCGTTCTTCTCTTCCTTTGGGAGAGCATGGGGTTGGAGAGTTAAACAAATAAATAAATCTCTGACTCTCTGAGTATGCTTTGCCTAATTACTTAAACCTATCTAAATCAAAAGATATAATTTTTATAATTTCTATAATAACAAGGATAGGTGTGTTGAACATATCTACTGTGAGTGGTAGTAATCAAATTTCTGCCTTGAGATAAAATACATTTGCTCAGAGAGAAATAACTCAAAATTAACCTGATAAGAACTTCCTCCCAATATTATAACTATACTAGAAGCCCAGTGCACTAAATTCATGCACTCAAGGGGGGTCCCTCAGCACGGCCTGCACCCTCTCACAGTCTGGGAGCCCTTAGAGGATGTCTGACTGATGGCTTAGGCCCACCACTGCCGCTGTGCTCACCAGCTATGAGCCTGGCTTCTGGATGAGCAGTGCTCTCCCTTTGGGAGCACACTGACCACCAGGGGGCAGCTCCTGCATTGAGCATCTGCCCCCCTGGTGGTCAGTGCGCATCATAGCAACCAGTCGTTCTGCTGTTTGGTCAATTTGCATATTAGCCTTTTATTATATAGGATTCTTGGACTCCCCTATCGGCTGGATATTCTTAAAGTATAAAGGAGAATCAGGTTTTAAAAGGTAAATTGTGGAAGAAATTAGAGTTTCACCTTCAGTAAGGAAATAATTTCTTTTTTTTTAAAATATATTTTATTGATTTTTTACAGAGAGGAAGGGAGATAGAGAGTTAGGAACATCGATGAGAGAGAAACTTCGATCTGCTGCCTCCTGCACATCTCCCACTGGGGATGTGCCCACAACCCAGGTACATGCCCCTGACTGGAATCGAACCCGGGACCCTTCAGTCCGCAGGCCGACGCTCTATCCACTGAGCCAAACCGGTTTCGGCAGGAAATAATTTCTTAAAAGCATGGTTGTGTTGTCTTAGCCACTATTGCTATATCACAACCAGTGCAAATGGTAATCTACAGTGAACTTTTAACAATTCTTAGCAATCAAGCAAGGACCTATGCCTCCTTGTCATAAAATATTTATTTCTTATCCTGGTCTCTAGCAGTTGCCGCTACTAAAGCTTCTTACCTAGAACTGGATGCAAATGGTAAATTCTGGATGCCCACACTTCTTTTCTAATCTGAAGAATACAGGTCATTTTGCATTATTGCCATGCCTAGTAATTAAATAATGAACCAGTGATTGAAAACTGATAAGAGGACTAGTCAAAGAGACACTGTACAATCTGCCTACTTAAAATAGATATCCACCTGGTTGTGTAGATCTTTCTGCACAACCAAGTAGGAAGATTATCACCACTACAGTAGAAAATCGTAGGTCTAAAGGGATTGATCAAGACCTAGGAGTAGAGCCCCAGCCAGTGTGGCTCAGTGGGTTGGACATCATCCCTTGTAGCAAAAGATTGCTGGTTCGATTCCCAGTCAGGGCACATGCCCAGGTTTCAGGCTCGATCCTCTCACATCAATGTTTCTCTCTCTCCCCCTCTCCCTTCCTCTAAAAATCAGTAAAAATATATTTTTTTTAAATATATTTTATTGATTTTTTACAGAGAGGAAGGGAGAGAGATAGAGAGTTAGAAACATCAATGAGAGAGAAACATCAATCAGCTGCCTCCCGCACATCCCCCACTGGGGATATGCCCGCAACCCAGGTACATGCCCTTGACCGGAATCAAACCTGGGACCCTTCAGTCCACAGGCCGACGCTCTATCCACTGAGCCAACCGGTTTCGGCAAAAAATCAGTAAAAATATTTTAAAAAAAATAAAAAAGACCTAGAGTGGAAAAAGACTTTAGAGGTTATAGATTCACTGTGCCCAATAAGTTTAGAATAATTCTAGATAAGTATTTTGGGTAGGACAATTCTTCACTGTTTAGGGACTGTCCCAGCACTGCAGGACATCCACTGATTCTGCCTACTAAATGCCAGTAGCCTGAGAGAGGGGAAGTGGCAGTCACAATGACAACAAAAATCAGCTTCATCTATTTCTAAATTCTGAAGGGGTGAGGAAGGTAGAGGAGGGAGTAGCAAAGATCACTGGCCAAGAAGGTGGAAAGACAAAATATTTGATGTGATTAACAGAGTCACAGAGTCTTAGAAGAAAGATACTGTATATAGTTGAAAAAGTAGATGAAATGCCTAGAATAGTGGTGGGCACATAGGTCATTTAATAAACAATGGTTCTTTTTCTCGAAGTGATGTGTTACCAAACCAAAAACATTTTTTACCACATTATTCATGGTATTCTGCTTGAAATATCATGCAGATAAAATATAGGCTTTGGAGCCAGAGAGATTGTGGTTTGAATCCCAATTCATACAGCTGTGTGAACACTAAATTTGAATCTGTTTCCTCATGTATAAAAAAGAATAGCTATCTAGCAGGGCATAATTAGAATGAAAGCTAATATATGTAAAACACTGGCAAGTACTAAGTGCTCACCAAAAAGAAGCCATGATTATTCTCATTCCGGTGATATGAGATTTACTCTCAAGAGAAAGCACATCTGCTATGGGAAAGTTCAAGCTATTTGGCTATTTGAAAGTGTTGTGGTTTTTTTTCAATCCTCACCTGAGAACATGCTTGTACTAATTTTAGAGAGGAAGTGGGGGGAGGGGGCGGTAGGGAGAGAGAGAACGAACGAACGAACGAGAGAGAACACAGAGAATATTGATCGGCTGTCTCCCATAAGTCCCCTACCGGGAATCAACACCTTTCAGTGTACAGGACAGTGCTCTAACCAACTGAACACATGTCAGGGTGAGAGTGTTTTCTTTAATTAAACCAAAAATCTGCTTCCCTATGACTTCTATTTAGACCAGCATATTCCACTTTTCCCCCTCATGAAAACCAAAATTTAAACACCTACAGTTCTAGACATAATGGGGTTTCTAGATATACCTACTCTCCTCTGAATATGAGCTAATTTGTGATGTTCCTTTCAAAACTCAGCATGAATATAATGCTTCAAACCTGGCCACCAATATACAATATGCAATTAACATACTCCAGAATTTAAAAAAATATATATTAATTTATTGATTTCAGAGAGGAAGGGGGAGGGAGAGAGAAACATCAATGATGAGAATCATTGATTGGGGGCCTCTTGTACACCCCCTACAGGGGACAGAGCCTGCAACCTGGGCATGTTCCCTGACCAGGAATTGAACCGTGCCCTCCTGGTTCATAGGTCAATGCTCAACCACTGAGCCACACCAGCTGGGCAATGCACCCCAGAATTTTAAAGTAAACAACAGATCCACCCTGGCCAAACAAAAACAAAATAAAACAACAGACCCAGTCCCTCCAACTTTTTTTTTTTTTTTAGAAAGTAGGTGATGAACTCTTCCTTCAGCATGCCCCCTTTTAAAAAATGTTTAGAATCAAATATTTGAATTCTCAGATATTAGGAATTAAAACACAGAGAAAAGACTAAAGAACTAACGATTAATTTGTGAATAAAATCTAATAGGCTTTGTCAAGTTAGCATAAAATATGCGTTAAAAGTAAAGCTTATGGCTCATGTTAGTAGAAAATAAAAAATTCAAAGATATATATTTAGTCTGATCAATATGATTCTGCTAGCAAATCCCATCTAGACATTACCCAAGTATTCTTTGCAAAGCATCACCTGCATATCCAGTCCACATGACACCAGGCTCTGAGGCCTTTGAGGCCGAAAAGCCACAGAAGAACAGATGTTGGAATGTCTCCTCAGCGATCTGCTAACTTTCTTATTTTCCAAGTCTAGGATTTTGATTGCTCCAGAGTCATCAGCAGAAGCCAGCAGGTTTTCAGTTTCATTCAATGAAAGGCAATTGATTTCTTCTTCATTCACATGAAAATGGTCCAGGGAACCTTTGAGGGATCTGACATCCAGTATGCTAATAGTTTCTCCATGCGAGGCATAGAGCTTGGTGGGGCAGGAGGGAGAGAATAAGACACAGGTAACGTCATTGGCCCCTTCAAAGCGTGTATGTCCCAATGGAGTCCCATCTTCACCCCAAGCCATGAGATCTCCACCCTCTGCTCCAGAAGCCACTAGCCCTTCTGAACTTGCATTCAGGCAGAGAATAGGAGAAGAATGTCCACCAATCCACTTGACAGCCATAATGGCTGAGAAGACTGTGAAGGAGGAAAAAAATATGTCATATTTTACTTAAGAACTTAATGGTAGGAGACAAATGCAATAAGTAATATTTCATTTAAATATTTTTAAAAGACATCTAAACAACTCAACAACAAAAAGAAAACTGAAGAAGTCTACAAAAGCCTAGCCGAACACAGGATTGTGGGCACAACAGGCTAGAACATGCTGAAATGGGCTTCCCTTGCAACCAGGAACCCAAGTAAGCCTGGTTCTCCAGCCTTTGGTGTGAGGCTCACATAAGAATAAATACTAAAGCCCTAACCGGTTTGGCTCAGTGGATAGAGCATCGGCCTGCAGACTGAAGGGTCCCAGGTTCAATTCCGGTCAAGGGCATGTACCTTGGTTGCGGGCACATCCCCAGTGGGGGTGTGCAGGAGGCAGCAGATCGATGTTTCACTCTCATCCATGTTTCTAACTATCCCTCTCCCTTCCTCTCTGTAAAAAATCAATAAAATATATATAAAAAAAGAATAAACACTAAATATATTTATTTTAAATTAGGAAAAATTCTTTTTAAGAGAGGGCTGTATAACAATCAGGTTTATTTTTTATCAGAATAATGTTTTAGAGTGTGCGCTCTGGAAGTAGAGTCCCCAGGTTAGTCTCTAGCTAGATGACTTTGGGCAAGTTACAGAACCTCTTCTCTGTGACTCATTTCCTTCTCTATAAAAATGGAGATAATGATAATAATGGTAACACCTATTTCATAGAATCAGAGAGAATTAAATGAAGTAATCTATGTAAAGCACATAAAATAGTGCCTGGTAAATAATGAGTGACCAACAATTACCATTATCCCTTTTTGCATTTTTATTAAGCTGGTCAAAGTGGCATCATATATATTAAACCAATGGTCCTCAAAGTATGGCCTCCAGACTAACAGCATCAGTAGCACCTAGGAACTTGTTAGAAATAAAAATTGTCAAGACCTCACCTGAGGCCCACTGAATCACAAACTGGAGTTGGGGCCCAGCTATATGTTTAACAAGCCCCCCAGATTATTCTGACGCATGTTAGAATTTGAGAACCTGTACTACACCAATCATCATTTAGGAAATTGGTTAGAAATGCAGACCCCTAGGTCTTAGCACCAGAGACTAAATCAACAGAATATTACTTTTATTCTTGAAACCTTTCTGCTTGGTATTATTCCATTTTATGGATAACTAGAGGCCCGGTGCACAAAAATTTGTGCACTGGGGGGGGGGGGGGGGCGGGTCCCTCAGCCTGGACTGTGCCCTCTCGCAGTATGGGACCCCTCGGGGGATGACCACCTGCTGGCTTAGGCCTGCTCCCCAGGGGATTGGGCCTAAGCTGGCAATCAGACAATCCTCTGGCAGCCTGGCAGCACTCGGGGGATGTCCACTTGCCAGCGGGGAGCAGACCTAAGCTGCAGTTGGACATCCTTAGCGCTGCCGAGGAGGCAGGAGAGGCTCCCACCACCACCGCTGTACTGGCAGTCATCAGCCTGGCTTGTGACTGAGCTGAGCTCCCCCATGTCGGAGCACACTGACCACCAGAGGGCAGCTCCTGCATTGAGTGTCTGCCCCCTGATGGTCAGTGTGTGTCATAGTGACCAGACATTCCCAGTCTTTCTGCTGTTAGGGTCAGTTTGCATATTACCCTTTTACTATATAGGATAGAAGCCTGATGCACGGGTGAGAGCCGCCTGGTTTGCCCTGAAGGGTGTCCTGGATCAGGGTGGGGGTCCCGCTTGGGTGCCTGGCCAGCCTGGGTGAGGGGCTGATGGCTGTTTGCAGCTGGTCACACCCCTTCAGGGTGGGGGTCCCCACTGGGGTGCCTGGCCAGTCTGGGTGAGGGGCAGAGGGACATTTTCAGGCTGGCTGGCGACAAAAGCTCCCAGCCTCTCCTTTTTTTCTTTTTTTTTTTTAATTCTGGGATTTATTTACCTTCTATAATTGAAACTTTGTTGCCGTCACTGGAGCTGAGAGCCAGCTCCTGCTCGCTCCAGCTGGCAACGGCCGGCTGAAAGGAGGTATCTGGGGTCTATTTAGCTTCTATAATTGAAACTTTGTTGCTTTCGGAGCTCAGAGCCGGCCACAGCAGGTGGGGAACCTTGGCTTCCTCCATCACTGGAGCAAACAAGCCTCCTGCTCACTCCAGTTCTGTGGCTGTGGGCCGCCATCTTGGTTGGGTTGATTTGCATATCGTGCTGATTAGCCAATGGGAGGCGTAGTGAAGGTATGGTCAATTACCATGTTTGTCTATTATTAGATAGGATAAAACTAAGTTTCAGAAATGTTCAATAATTTTCCCAAAGTCTCCTGGCCCTTAAAATTTGTACAGGGACCCAATATCAAGGGATACTAAACTTTTAAATAAATAATGAAGACCAGGCCTTGGCTGGGTAGTTCAGTTGGTTAGAGCGTTGTCCCAGTATGCCAAGGTTGAGAGTTCCATTCCTGGTCAGGGCACATACAGGAGTCAACCAATAGCCCAGCCTGTGTGGCTCAATGGTTGAGTGTCAACCTATGAACCAGGTCATGGTTCAATTCCTGGTCAGGGCACAATGCCGGGTTGCCGCCTTGGTCCCCAGTGAGGGGTGTGCAGGAGGCAGCCTGCCAATCAGTGATTCTCTCTTATCATTGATGTTTCTAGCTCTCTCTCCCTGCCTCTGTGAAATAAAAATATATTTAATTAAAAAAAAATCAACCAACCAATGAATGGATAACTAAGTGGAACAACATTTGATGTTTCTCTCTCTCTAAAAATAAACAAAAATAATTTTAAAAAATCAATAGAAATTTTACAAAATTTATTTAAAAACTTAATTAAAAACAGTTTACTTGTTAGTATTTTCCCCCCATATTTTTACTGATTTTAGAGAGGGAGGAGAGAGATATAGAAAGATCAATGATGAGAATCATTGATCAGCTGCCTCCTGCATGCCCCACACCTGGGATTGAGCCCACAACCTAGGCATATGCCCTGACTGGGAATTGAACCATGACCTCCCGGTTCATAGACCAACGCTCAACCAGCGAGCCATGCCAGCTGGGCTTGTTAGTATTCTTTAAAGTACAGAAAATGACTAAAAGATACTAATTCATTATTGCTTTTAAATGTACTTGTTAGGGGCAAAAATAGAATATTGGGAACTAGCGGTAGTTATAAGAAATATTAAACACTAGAGGCCTGGTGCATGACATTCATGCACCTGGGGCGGGGGGTGTCACTCAACCTGGCCTGCATCATTTCCCAGTCCGGGAGCCCTCAGAGGATGTCCAACTGCCACCAAGGCAGGAGACGCTCCCACCACTGCTGCAGCACTCACCAGCCATCAGCCTGGCCTGTGGCTGAGCAGCACTCGTCCGTTCTGCCGTTCAGTCGATTTGCATATTACCCTTTTATTAAACATGTTCTGATTGCCTTGTTCTGATTAAAGAAAGGACATTTTAATCTGGCTGGGAGCAGTGCATGCCCAGGAATCTGGGAGTCAACCTTGGAATGCAGAACAGACTCATACAGTAACTGCCTATTATCATGGAAGGATTAACAACCAGGTTGCCCAAACAATGGAGTCCCTCCCAGCACACAATGCCTACTTCCCCACCTTGTAATACCCATTGTGTATACCCATTCTTACTCCTTTTGCCTACTTCCCCATGTAATCTTTGTCCTACCCAATATAAGCAGCTGGTTTATGCAGGGGGAGAGGGGATTTCAGAGCAGATTTTTTGGCATGACCTGCTGCTCTTCCATACTGCCATCATTATTGGAATAAATGCTCATATATGATTCAACCCTGTCTCTGCTTAATTGCCTCAAGTAGTGACAGGCAGCCTGGACCCATTGGTTGTCAGTTTATTAATGTAAAAACATTCAAACCTGTAAAGAATTTTTGTGAGTTTACTTGAGCCAAATTGTCGACAATTGACAACTGCCAGTAAACAGAATCTCAATGACCTGGGATAATGCTCTGGACAATGGCTTTTTAAAATTTATTTTGAAGAAAAACAATTTTAAATATAATAATGTTACATGCAATAAACATTAATATTTCAAGAAGAATGGCAGTTTTTCATCTATTTTATACATTGCAATCAAAGGAGGAGACGTAGGTGGTTTACATGAAACCATTGGTGATAGATTAGAGAGGTGAGAGAAAGCAAAGGAGGGGGGAAGTCTGGGATTGGATAAAGAGTAAAATGATAGACACATACTTCTTTTACTTAGGTGGGTACAGGATAGTTAACAGTCAACAATTAACATGATAACAATGAAGGAATTTGTGGTATCTGTCCCGGCACCCAGGGCATTTGGTTGTGCCCAGATGGGTCCAGAAAAAAGGGAAGTTACAAGCTACTCTGACATTTCAATATGTTATTGTAGATGCAAAAAGACCATAAGCTCAGTTAAAGATTGACCTTGTCAGGGAAGATACTGGCCTAGGAGGTGACTACCTACCATAACTGCCTTTAATCAAAGTTTAATTTCAGACCATCCTTTGTGGTTTACTTTAGGTCTTTGAGTTTGCAAGACTGCCATGCAGGCCTTCCCTGAGCTTGTCAAGTTAGCATGTGGCCCCTTTTGTCCACAGATTTCATACTGACAAATTTTTAATCACATTATTACCTACTTGCACTTATACAATAGTAGTACCTATATACAAAATTTAGGTTCCCGATATACGAGGCACCCCAATCTATAAACTGGAATTGCCACATACTTCCCTGCTGTAATTGCCCATGGGCAAAGCAAAAAAGGAAATCAGGGCAATTTATACATCTCTAATGGTCAAATAAGAGGAAACAAACAAATTTGGACAAATTTAATTTTTCATTTCACAAGCCAAGGTAGAATTTACCTAGTGAAAAATTGCCATAGTTGCTTTGTATTTTCAGGTTTGACACCTCAATTTTATCCAATGGTACACAGATAAATTTCCTAATATTGCTTTGAAAATTCACTTAAAATAATCTGGCAATCTGCATAAAATTTCTATTCCCTCCTA